ATTTACGAAACTTTTATCATGTATTAAAACATAGCCTTCGTGTATTTGAAAAACACTCATGTGCATTTCAGGATTATTCATCGTGTAATAAAAATGTTCATTCTATATTTAAAATATAGTCGCCATGCATTCAAATAATGTTCACTGTGTATTGAGAATAATACATGCATTAAAAATATTTATAAATAAAAAGGAAACAAAAAACATAATCAAAATAAAATAAAACAATTTGGAAAATAACTAAACAAATATGGAATAAAACTGCAAATGAAAAAGGGAAGAGTGAAAAAATAAGAAGAAGAAAAAGATAACTAAAAGGCTGGGGCCGTGGGGGGCAGGGGATAAAATGTGCAAAGACTGTTAAAAAAACTGCTTAGCGTTATTTTAACAGTGTTTATCATGTACTCCCTTCATTCCATAATGTAGTGCGTCCGCACTTTTCAAGATTTAACTTTGATCATAAATTTAACCAACATGTACGACTGCGGCGGGAGCAAAAATTACACCCAAAGAGTCACATCGAAGGTGGAACAAGAAGAAAATCATCGACATTTTTCCTTTTCTTAGCGAGATTGAATGCATCGAACAACACATTAGGCAGCTTGAAGTTCTTGCCTCCAGAAGAAAAGTAGACATACATGTATTTTAGATTTGCAGATATTTTTAGTTCCTAAATTTGCAGATATTTCACTCAAGCATTGATCCCCGCATATAAAGATACAACAATTGCATACTGTTAACCATTAAGGTTAGCATTGAGAAAATTATTTTAAATTTGCGATTCCTACGGATTTTCACTCTTCCTAAGTAAATAGCCATAGTAACTACGGTGCAGACTTTTGAAACAGGGGACTAGGTGCACCTAATTAGCCCAAATAAATAAATAAACAATAGTAAAAGAAAACAAAAAAAATGTAAAACCTTGTCGGAACAAGCATTGTGTAGTGTATTACTCACGTGTAAAGTTTCGAAACAAAATGACTTCTGTGGTATTCTTAGCAAAAATAAGGCAAAATTGCAAGTATAAACTGTGTGAATGGTAAGCTTAATATAGCATCGGTTTATTTTTATTCATTTCAAATACCAAAGAATTCATTTTGTCGTGAAAATTTATAGTTAGTAATAAACTGGACAATGCTTGTTCCAAGTAAGTTTCACACCTTTTTTGAGTTTTTTACTAATTTTTTTTTAAACATGCTTGTGTGGAGCAGATTGTAGGAAGATTTGCGCGCGGTCTTTCGAGGAATCAGCTCCACAATCCGGCCGAGCATGGCCTACATGGCAAGCCAATCAATCATTTTCTTTTCAACTATTAATAATGGCATCAGTGGACTATATATCCATGTATGTAATGTGTGTGCTTTGGAGCTTGTTCCTGCAGTGCCAGGCTCAATTCAGCCTCAATTCATCGGTCTTAATTCTATTTTGAAAGAAAAAAAGAGAAACTGATCAGCGATGCATGCTTGTGTGGAACATAACGTGAGGTCTTGCGCCCGGTCATTGGAGCATGGACTACACGGCAAGCCTGGCAATCACTTTCTTTAGAACATTCACCACTAGACCTGCACAACATGAGCCTTGTCCTTGCCTTGGAGCTGCAGCTGTTGCTACTCCTGCTTGCCTTTCCACGCCTTACTTCTGCCTTAAATTCCACGCATTCGCCACTTGATCGGCAGGCTGAGGCACTTCTCTGATGGAAGGATAACATCCTTTGTATGTTGACTTAGTATTGTTACTAGTAATTTCAGTATTGAAAATGGCATCGTTTGGCAAAACTTTTGGCTGAAAATATATGCATTCCCCTTATCCTGCCCTCTTCATTCATCTGAAGTAGGCGGAATCACCTTCTTTTTCATATGGTTATGTTTCTAATTGCCAAATTTTTTAAAGAGGAATAGACACAGTATGTCTTAGTGGAAACTTATGCAACAGGCTGGATGTTTGACAGGCAAAACCTGAAAGGATCGAAGCCTTTTAGCCTATAACTTATAGCTGTGCAAATCCCACGTACATATGTGCATTCCTTTCTTTTCTTAGGGGACGGGGACCAGGTCGGCTTCACTTGCAATAATGTTATCAGTACCAGATCTCAAGTTCAACCTGTTTTATTCTCCGTCTTTTCTTATAATAATGTTCCATTCACACTAGCTCTCACACTCCAGAGAGTGCTGACTGCTGAAGCTCCAGACTGAACTCTGAATGTAATGCCATGAACATGGAAGGAAGAATATCTGCTTTGGACAAACATGCGTGGGTCATAAATGAAGTTAATTTCCATCCTTGTCTGGTTGCAGTTTCTGAAAACATTTTATGCATGGTTGCAGTTTCTGAATACTGGCCGGCTCTCCCTTTTTTTTAGAAAAGGAGGATGTACCCCCGGCCTTTGCATCTGGACGATACATGCATCCATATTATTAATTATTCACAAAGACCATACAAGGTGATACATCAATAAGCCGAATGTCTGGGCCTAATACCAAACACACATCGCACTAAAGCCTAACATCTAAAGCCGGGTGTCCCTCCCAAGCCACTACCTGGATTGGGTCCCACACCGGTCACTCACACTCCCAATGAGCACCACACGCTACAACGGTCGTCACCTCCATCATCCCTCGGTCCATCCTCAGAGCAAAACTGTTGCACCGACCATGCCAGGCCTCTCTCCATCAATGCCACCATGACGCCAGACAACTTCCTCCTCCTGCGCGAGTCCATCTCCAGACGCGCCAATCGCCGAACCTCCGCGGCGCCATGCCGCCAGGATCCGCCGTCGGCCTCGCGGTAGATGTAATACCGCTCCTCCTCTTGTCCCCTCCAGCTAGCGCATGCTCCAAAATGGTGCCCCCAGGAGGGACAACGACATCGAAGGTGCCATCATCATCCGATCCGGTAGACCCAGATTTAGGGTTTCCCCCGAAGCTCACACCGTCACCGCTGCTGGAGCTACGCGGCACCCACCACCCATAGCATCTCTCGCCCGGCCATCTGAGCCTCCCAAGATGGCGCCTCCATGGAGGTTACGACACGCAAGGTGCCGCCGCTGCCCAATCCAGACTGAATTTTGGACTTTCATCCGGGAGGGGTTCGGATGTGGATAGGAGGGACCTCGGCTTCACCTCCAAGGAGGGTAACGGCGTCATGGGACGCCGTCGATGCAGGGCCGGACCAGCCGGCCAAACTTTCCTCCGGTCCCCAACCTATTCCGGATCCGACAGCGAGACGAACCGAGACCAGCAGAGATGCAAGTGCCATGGGGCTCAACCCACCAGGAAGGAGGATCAAGAAGGACAGTCGCCGTAGATCTCCAGGTGCCGGATTCAACGATCCGATGAGGCCAGCGGCGTAGACCACCACCCTGCGCCGGCCGACAACATCCAAGCGCCAGATCTAGATGGATTCGGCCTGAACATGGCGGCACCCGCGACCACCCGATCTGAAGACCATGCAGCCACCACCTCGCCGTGGAATCACATCAAGCCGTAGCTGCCGCGCCGCGCCGCCGGCGCCGCCGCCAAGATGCTCGCCCGCCGCGCCGCCAGACCCCGCGTCGGCATGGGCCCATGAGGCGAGCGGCAGGGGGAGTGGGCCGCATAGTACGGTGATGTTGGCGGCAGTTGGGACTAGAGCACGGTGGAGGCCTCCGCCGGAATCTGCCGCGAGGCGTTCGAGCGGCTCGCCGAGTACTTCGGCCGGCTCCCTGTCTCCCTGCGAGTGCGAGGTAAGTAGAAATAGGGTGGAAATGCTTTGCGTTTGAGCTGCAGGATCAAAATTGGTTAGGAGTGTTTGTTTCACCGAATCCATGGCGTGTAGTGCCATGTTGGATCAGCGACATTTCGCATTAGCGTATGGATCGCTGATGATGATGAGATTTGGTTAACCAGTTTTCTTCGGGATTCAAATATATTAAACCATTATATGTGAAGGACTGAAGGTGCAAAATGGGTTAAAAGGTTATAAATGATCTACCCTTGGTTACGAAGATTGAGACCACTTTAACACTATGCAACGATGGCAAATACTCACAAAGTACGGATTGACGAAAAGAAAACGAAAAAGACCATGCCGAAACGGTATGCTGCCTTCAATCGGCTATCACACCGCCGTGATACATTATGCAATATAAGAAACAAGCCGAAATAACGGAACTGAAAGGTGGTGGTGGTGGTGGTGGTTCCTTTGTTCATTTTCATAAGACGTTTAGACAATTCACAAAATAGTTCAATGTCAGCTGTACAAAATGTCTTATAAAAGAGAACGGAGAGAGTACGATTTAGCATTGGCACATTGTATACATACATACTTTCAGAAGTAACAAATGGAGCCGAAAAGCACACACCGTATAAATCTTTACTCTTCTTCCTCGTGTTCTGGATGCTGCCCCGAGACGCCGTATTGCGCTAGGCTGAAAGCACCGGAGTTGGAGCGTGACCCCTTGGTGGTTGCACGCTGCCACTTGTGGCAACTAAGCCATGACATCAAGTAATAAAGCCCATCCCCCTTTGCGTTAATAGAGGTATACCTGGGCACATAATAGGGGTCGCTCAAAGCCCAAGGTCCCACTTGCCTCTTTATTTCAGCCACATCCTTGGCGAGTTCCGACAAGGTCATCTTGGGTGCCGCACGACCCTCGTCTGAGGACCTTACCCTTGTCCATAGCTCTTTCCATTCTGCTGCTCTCTCCAAATGGCGATCATTCCCAGAATGCTTCGACTTGAAGTCCACCATAGCTAAGAAGGCCTTCTCAAGCCGGATCCGCACGAGCTCTGCGGCCACCTCACGGTTGATGGTCAGCTTGTCGGGTGAGCACCCCCAGCTTGGTCGCAGAACGAACAAGTCCATATCGCCCAGCTGCTTATATATGTTGAAGCCCCGATACCGGCCACCGACAGTCAGAAGCTTCTTCTTCCCCTCCGCGACTGTCAAGTATACGATGAAGTTTTTTCGCTCGCCGGCATAGATGTGGTTGATGTTTATCTCACCACACCTTTTGTCGGAGCTTACTTCGTTGCTGTAGCCACCGGACTCGATTGACGATATGGCGACGCCCTCGTGAGCCGCCAGGGTGATCTTGACAGAAGTCGTGGCACTGACGTGATGCCGGTGATGAATAGCTCAATGCCTTCCATCATACTAGTGCTATCGTCATCGAAATAGGAGTAGGTGCCGGAGGTTTGATCAGCGATGTAACTCATGACCCACCAGGCTCTTGTCCACGCCGCTGAGGGGAAAGTTGAGATCTTGTCCAGACTGAAGGTGTGCACCGGGAAATCGGAGCTCAACATAGAATAGTTGTCGCCCACCTTGTCACGGCCATCCGACACGAACATGATGCAGCCTATACGGTTGTCGCCCTCCTTCACTTCACGCCCTCTTAGAATCTAGGTCAACTTTATGTCAGCACAAAAGGAATGCTATGGAAAAATATAGTTATACGACTTTGT